AGAGAGAGAGAGAGAGAGAGAGAGAGAGAGAGAGAGAGAGAGAGAGAGAGAGAGAGAGAGGAGAGAGAGAGAGAGAGAGACCGTGCGTGCCTCTAGGATTAAGCTGTCAGCTCTTGGACCCCGCCTTTCTAACCCTCGGTTTTCTTGAGTATATTGTTGCCGTCGGAGGCGGCTAGTTTATTGTGATAAAAAAGATTACAGAGGGCACGAAAGATCCCTATCAGCTCTCAACGGCGATCATTACAACAACATCTATCTCTTACATCCATCTTGTACACCTTTTAATCAAAATGTCAGCCAGTTAAAGAGAATGTTCCATTTCAATATACATTTATATAAAAATATACATTTTATAATGGTAGGTCTTTTCGCTAATACATTACTGCTTTAGCTATGGAAATGTTACAGGGCCATAGGAAAGCTGCTGTTAGTTATTATTAGTCTTCATAATACACTGCACTAGTGTGCAGGATACATCTAGCATATACAGTACCATAACCACTGGACCACAACTGACTGTACAAAAGTGTTGGGAGTCGTGAGACTTTTACCCAACATCCGACAGCACTCGGTGGCCAGTGGGCACAGATAATTTTCAGCAAATCAATTCACCATAAGAGGAAAACGCGAGCATCAAATGAGTACTGTCGGTTGTTGGGTATAAAAGTCTCACGACTCCCAACACTTTTGTACAGTCAGTTGTAGTCCAGTGGTTATGGTATTGGATATGCTCGGTATTTGGAACGCCTAGCTGTCTAGGGTTCGAACCCTTCACGAGGAAGAGAGGAATAAATATTACCACAGTAGGAATAGTTATCTATCCTATCCGGTGGTATATCTAAACCTAACCTAACCTAACCTAACCTACCTAACCTAACCTAACCTAACCTAACCTATCCTATCCGGTGGTATATCTAAACCTAACCTAACCTAACCTAACCTAACCTAACCTAACCTAACCTAACCTAACCTATCCTATCCGGTGGTATATCTAAAATGAAACGTGTTATACACCCCCCAGTTCAACAGTTCTTCAGTGAAGTCACAGCCAGTTTTACCGAAGCCAAAGATATCTTTATTAAAGCCAGAGTCAGCTTTACTAAAGCCCAAAACAACTTTATTGAAACCACAGACAGCTTTACTAAAGCCACATCCGATTTGATTGAAGCTACAGCCAGCTTTAATGAAGCTATAATCAGCTTAAATGAAGCCACAACCAGCTTTATTACCGCTGCCCCGCTGAACTAAAGCTAGTTCAGCTTAGGAATAAGGCCTCCCTTATTCCTTGGCGACACTTACGACACTTATGGCGACACTTAGACACTAAGGCCTTTCCCCCCTACCCCTCCCCTCCCATACTTTAGAAAACTTCTAGACGACGTAACACATCACTTTAGAACACTTGTTCTAAAGTAAAGCTCCAAGCTGAGGGTCAAGAAACGGCTGGTATTCAGTAAAGCTGATTACATTAGTATTTTACAAAATACAATATGTCTCAAAATCCTCTCTGTAGGACTGAATTAAAAAAATAACGACGACAGAGACTAGTTCTAAATTTTTACCAATTAACAACCAACTAGTTACAAAAATAACAACAACAGTCTGAGGTATCACATTACTTTGCGAATATAAAAAAAATCAAAGAGAATCTGATAAGTTTCTTCATATCCCAAATGAGAGCAGAATTAATCCACTCTATGAAACGATTCCTATTAATCTCCATTAAAACAATTAATTAGTCGCAGTCATACCGAAAATTGGCCAATTACGACGGGGCTTCAGCCAGAACATGTATCCCAATTACTGACCCTCTGAGTCCTTCCAATTACGCCCTACTTCTCTTAATGTATTTTCGCGAATGTTGTGAATTTCTGTCGAAATTTTCGAGTTGAAATTTGTATATTCGTCTGTGCCCTTGAGAGTTGGATTGTCTGGCTTTTCCAGGGCTACAGGTGTAATGTTTGGCTTTTCCAGGGCTACAGGTGTAGTGTTTGGCTTTTCCAGGGTTACAGGTGTAGTGTTTGGCTTTTCCAGGGCTACAGGTGTAGTGTTTGGCTTTTCCAGGGTTACAGGTGTAGTGTTTGGCTTTTCCAGGGCTACAGGTGTAATGTTTGGCTTTTCCAGGGCTACAGGTGTAGTGTTTGGCTTTTCCAGGGTTACAGGTGTAGTGTTTGGCTTTTCCAGGGCTACAGGTGTAGTGTTTGGCTTTTCCAGGGCTACAGGTGTAGTGTTTGGCTTTTCCAGGGCTACAGGTGTAGTGTTTGGCTTTTCCAGGGCTACAGGTGTAGTGTTTGACTTTTCCAGGGCTACAGGTGTAGTGCTTGGCTTTTCCAGGGCTACAGGTGTAGTGTTTGGCTTTTCCAGGGCTACAGGTGTAGTGTTTGGCTTTTCCATGGCTACAGGTGTAGTGTTTGGCTTTTCCAGGGCTACAGGTGTAGTGTTTGGCTTTTCCAGGGCTACAGGTGTAGTGTTTGGCTTTTCCAGGGCTACAGGTGTAGTGTTTGGCTTTTCCAGGGCTACAGGTGTAATGTTTGGCTTTTCCAGGGCTACAGGTGTAGTGTTTGACTTTTCCAGGGCTACAGGTGTAGTGCTTGGCTTTTCCAGGGCTACAGGTGTAATGTTTGGCTTTTCCAGGGCTACAGGTGTAGTGTTTGGCTTTTCCAGGGCTACAGGTGTAATGCTTGGCTTTTCCATGGCTACAGGTGTAGTGTTTGGCTTTTCCAGGGTTACAGGTGTAGTGTTTGGCTTTTCCAGGGCTACAGGTGTAGTGTTTGGCTTTTCCAGGGTTACAGGTGTAGTGTTTGGCTTTTCCAGGGCTACAGGTGTAGTGTTTGGCTTTTCCAGGGTTACAGGTGTAGTGTTTGGCTTTTCCAGGGCTACAGGTGTAGTGTTTGGCTTTTCCAGGGTTACAGGTGTAGTGTTTGGCTTTTCAAGGCCGTATTTGTAACCAACGAAGGTTGGGAACCCCCAACGGAGAATGTTCAATCGCGAGTAGTGAACACACGCACACGTTAAGCACCACCTCTCCCAGCACACACACACACACACACACACACACACACACACACACACACACACACACACACACGCACACGCACACACACGCGCACACGCACACGCACACGCACACACACGCACACACGCACACACACACACACACACACACACACACACACACACACACACGCACACACGCACACACGCACACACGCACTGTAACACCTCCAATTGTAACACCACTAATTGCACCACTATAATGGAACACCACTACTTTTCCTGAGTAACACTTCCCCATCGGTTGCACTTGGTAACACTGTTATGAGCTGACATATGATGGTTACACCGGAATCAAAGGTACACTGCCAACAAGGAGATGCTAACAAGGGATGAAATACGCTGCCACCATCTGCCTTTGACCATTGAGACTATATCAAGCAACGAGGCAAGAAACGTTGCTTGACTTGGAGAGTACTTTCTATGACTGTCATTAATTATGAAAATAGTTGTCAGCCATTATATCCAAAAGGCTAAGAGGATTCAACAATTGACACAGACGGGAAATTTAACATGAGTTTATTAAAGACCAAAATTATGTCAATCACCACTTATAAATCCTATTCTAACACTGGCAAAAATTTAAGAAATTTGGACATGGAACAAAACCTCAGAGATCACACACATTACCTTAAAACCTCTGTCTCTCCCTGGCTGAGATGTTCTTCACAGACCCGCTCTCGATCCCGGTGTACCGCACTCTCCCCCTACTAAGTCTCTACTGGACCTCTATATACAACCCCCACAGGGGGGAGGGGGGAGATCTGCTGTTGCTACCTACCCCAAGAATGTAAAAGATCGGCCACACGTGTACACTCAAGAAATATTTCAATAAGCTTGTTTGACATTCACCATACACTCTTCAAGAGAGGAGTTATTAATTACGTGTGTGACTGACCTCTGACCTGGCCAAAAGGGGGAGATCCAGGGATGTTTACACATAAGAATCTGGAGCCTAATTCCCTTGCATGAAATATTACATACTTGAAACTATGCTGACTAAGACTAACCCAGGAATTTTTTTAATCAACATACAAGATAAACCGGAGGTCATCTGGGCTGACCTCTTGGAGAAGGCTTCCCTGGGTGTGAACTCTAAGGGGGGGGGGGTCATGGGTGTTACAGCACACGCACACACACGCACACACGCACACACACACACACACACACACGCACGCACACGCACACACACGCACGCACGCGAACACACGCACACAAAACGCACACGCACACACACACACACACACACACACACACACACACACACACACACGCACGCACACACACGCACACACACACACACACACACACACACACACACACACACACACACACACGCACGCACACACACACACACATACACACACACACGCACACACACACACACACACACACACACACACACACACACACACACACACACACACACACACACAGGGAACTCCGTGAAGTGTCGTCAGAGGAACCAACACAATTCTGCTGCAGTTCAACATTCTTTGACGCGTTCCACAGAGGAGCGCAAACTTTCCTGGCAATAGTTTGAAGCACCGAGTTCCTCTCTGAGAGAAATACTTGGCGGAGGAAGGCCTGGTTCCTCTCCTCACCGTCAGAGGCACTACACATGCTCCAGGTGTGATCACGAAGCCCACTGCGCATTCTCCACGTGTGATCTTGAGTTGATTTCGGGGTAACCTTTTAGTGTCCCCGCGGCCCGGTCCTCGACCAGGCCTCCACCCCCAGGAAGCAGCCCGTGACAGCTGACTAACACCCAGGTACCTATTTTACTGCTAGGTAACAGGAGCATAGGGTGAAAGAAACTCTGCCCATTGTTTCTCGCCGGCGCCCGGGACCGAACCCAGGACCACCGGATCACTAGTCCACTGTGCTGTCCGCTCGGCCGACCAGCTCCCCTTTAAGGGTTAAGACAGGCCCCTGACTCACATATTTAACCAGAATGTGAACTATATCAAAGTGATGACTTTTATCACTAACTCGTCATTGGTTTAGTTACTGTAGACATGACCACCATGTCCAAGATACTCTGTCACAGTTGGGTGTTTGTAATACAACCATGTGCTGTTAATAATACAACCATGTGCTTTTAATAATATAACCATGTGCTGTTAATAATACAACCATGTGCTGTTAATACAGCCATGTGCTGTTAATACAACCATGTGCTGTTAATACAACCATGTGCTGTTAATACAACCATGTGCTGTTAATACAACCATGTGCTGTTAATACAACCATGTGCTGTTAATACAACCATGTGCTGTTAATACAGCCATGTGCTGTTAATACGGCCATGTGCTGTTAATACGGCCATGTGCTGTTAATACAGCCATGTGCTGTTAATACAGCCATGTGCTGTTAATACAGCCATGTGCTGTTAATACAGCCATGTGCTGTTAATACAGCCATGTGCTGTTAATACAACCATGTGCTGTTAATACAACCATGTGCTGTTAATACAACCATGTGCTGTTAATACAACCATGTGCTGTTAATACAACCATGTGCTGTTAATACAACCATGTGCTGTTAATACAACCATGTGCTGTTAATACAGCCATGTGCTGTTAATACAACCATGTGCTGTTAATACAACCATGTGCTGTTAATATAACCATGTGTTGTTAATACAGCCATGTGCTGTTAATACAACCACGTGTTGTTAATACAGCCATGTGCTGTTAATACAACCACGTGTTGTTAATACAGCCATATGCTGTTAATACAACCACGTGTTGTTAATACAGCCATGTGCTGTTAATACAACCACGTGTTGTTAATACAGCCATGTGCTGTTAATACAACCACGTGTTGTTAATACAGCCATGTGCTGTTAATACAACCACGTGTTGTTAATACAGCCATGTGCTGTTAATACAACCACGTGTTGTTAATACAGCCATGTGCTGTTAATACAACCACGTGTTGTTAATACAGCCATATGCTGTTAATACAACCACGTGTTGTTAATACAGCCATGTGCTGTTAATACAACCACGTGTTGTTAATACAGCCATGTGCTGTTAATACAACCACGTGTTGTTAATACAGCCATGTGCTGTTAATACAACCATGTGTTGTTAATACAGCCATGTGCTGTTAATACAACCACGTGTTGTTAATACAGCCCTGTGCTGTTAATACAACAATGTATATGTATTAGAACCATGTGCGGTTAATAATATACTCGTGGTCTTGGAGACTGTGATGATGGATGTTTGTGTGTTCTACAGTTATATATTGAGGCGAGTATGCTTAGTGGGAGCTAGCACGAGTATGTGCAGGTATACAGCGCCGTGCTGCCGGGTATACACAGATGCCCACTGTAAACTGAGGTTGTAGGAGAGGTGTATTCAGTGAGTATACACCAGTGACTCCCAACTTTTTTTTTTTTAGATTCACGGACCTATGTTCACAAAAGACCTTCAAACCTCTCCCACTCTTTCATAAATTTTTGACAGTGTGTGTGTGTGTGTATTATATATATCAAATCAAATGTTTATTTAGGTAAGGTACATACATACAAGAGGTTTTACAAAGAGTGATGGATTTATAGATAGGGCTAGTACATACAATGCCTAAAGCCACTATTACGCAAAGAGTTTCGGGCATAATATATATATATATATATATATATATATATATATATATATATATATATATATATATATATATATATATATATATATATATGTCGTACCTAATAGCCAGAACGCACTTCTCAGCCTACTATTCAAGGCCCGATTTGCCTAATAAGCCAAGTTTTCATGATTTAATGTTTTTTCGTCTACCTAACCTACCTAACCTAACCTAACCTAGCTTTTTTTGGCTACCTAACCTAACCTTACCTATAAATATAGGTTAGGTTAGGTTAGGTAGGGTTGGTTAGGTTCAGTCATTTATCTACGTTAATTTTAACTCCAATAAAAAAAAATTGACCTCATACATAGAGAAAAGGGTTGCTTTATCATTTCATAAGAAAAAAATTATAGTAAATATATTAATTCAGGAAAACTTGGCTTATTAGGCAAATCGGGCCTTGAATAGTAGGCTGAGAAGTGAGTTCTGGCTACTAGGTACGACATATATATATATATATATATATATATGTGTGTGTGTGTGTGTATATCACGAAAATAAACACGTGATTAAGAATGTGACAATATCAGACCACGGAGGAAAATGAAACAGGAATTTCCTTAAGTACTTTCGTATATTAAATACATCTTCAGAAGGAATGGAATAAATACATCTTCCTTCTGAAGATGTATTTAATATACGAAAGTACTTAAGGAAATTCCTGTTTCATTTTCCTCCGTGGTCTGACATTGTCATATATATATATATATATATATATATATATATATATATATATATATATATATATATATATAATGTCGTACCTAGTAGCCAGAACGCACTTCTCAGCCTACTATGCAAGGCCCGATTTGCCTAATAAGCCAAGTTTTTATTAATTAATTCTTTTTCGACTACCTAACCTAACCTAGCCTAACTTTTTCGGCTACCTAACTTAACCTAACCTATAAAGATAGGTTAGGTTAGGTAGGGTTGGTTAGGTTCGGTCATATATTTACATTAATTTTAAATCCAATAAAAAAAAATTG